AAATCCTTTTTTTTTTTTTTTTTTTTGCCCCCCTCCCCCCCCCAACAGTGAAGGGAGAGCTGTAATCATAACTGAGAAAACGAAAGCAAAACCAAAGTGACTGTTTTGGAGCAGTAGTCTTGCTTTACTAAAACATCTAATACCTGGCTAGAAATAATTAGCCAAATAGTTTGAGGTTCTTATTTTTTTGTTTTTCAACCCTGAGGTTATGTTAGAAGGGTACTGAGCTGTTGTGAACACATGGTGAACTATCTTGCCATATACCTGGGGGGTTTTATTATTTTTTAAAGATACGTACTTTGACAATAGCAGCATAACATTGGCCTCTTACAGGTTTTTTTTTTATACCACATTGTAGTTTAAATGAGTACGTCGTTGATTTTTCAAGTATTTTTTGTTTTCTTTCAGAAGTCAGAATTTGTATCTTGATATACTTAATTTAAAATACCAAGCAAGAGCTTTTAACAAAAAAATGTTATGCAGACATAATTTAAAAGACAGTGTTTGTCAGTGATGCTGTTGAAGTAGAACAGCGCTTGACTTGTTTTGTGATACTGTTGTGCTGCTGCTTTTTCTCCAGGGTTTTCAAGACAGGAGCTGACTAGTCTCCAGGGCATCAGAGGAAAACCACACATTAGCCAGACACAGCTTTCACCTGTCCGTCTTTACCTAACTGATCTGGACCAGTTTTTACACCACTGGGCTGTGACAGAGGTAATACATCAACACTAATTCTAAATGACAGCATACAAACTCCGAGTGCTCTCCCTCCCTTTTCCAGAGATGCCGAAATTTTGTTGTGAGTTGAGTTGAAAAAAGCATGAAAAATAGAATAGTTGTCAAACAGACAATGTTTTTTCTACAGCCATCGGATAATATTTTGAAGGAAGCTGCTTTAAAAGGTGAATGTTCAGACGTGTAGTATGCAAAACGATACTCATGGAAAAAATGGGTAGGAGCCTCGGTGGAAAACTCTTAGACACTAATAAGATTAAGACCAGCAATATGTTTTAGCTTTCAAAAATAAATTAATTGTAAAAATACTAATTATAAAAAGTTTTCTTTGAGAGTAAATTCCACTGCTAATTAAAAAGGACTTGCATTAAATGAGATTTTTAACTTGGAAGTAATATTAAGTTGGCATTGGTGATCATTTAGAATAACTTCTGATGCTTAATTAATCAAAATTTAGTGGGATTAGAAACTTCACTGTGAATTCAGTTCCTGCTTGTAAGATTGTAGAGCTGAAAGCTTAATTTTATTGTTGGTTCTAAAGGGACCTGAGCCACCAGATTTTATTCAAAACAGGTGCATTAGTCTTCATTCTGGCTCAACTCTCTTTATTGCTTAGCTTGCCAGAAACTACTTTAAGGTGTGAAATCATGTTTTAATGACATGCCAATTTGACAGTATTTATGAAATCTCCATCATGAATACAGAAAGAAGAGTGTAACAGAAGTTTTTAGTTGTATGATTTATTCTGGGGTTTCGTGGCAGTCTTTTTGATTCAAGAAAGCAGTGTAGAAGATTTTTTCTCTTCTAATTCATAAAGTTGAAGTGATAATCTACCGAAACTAATGACAGTCTGAGGCATATATTGAATGTGTGCTATTACATATTGAAAAGTATTTTAAGCAAAGTTGTCTTTTGATACCATGATTGACACACATCCTTAGGTGTCCTGCCTTCAGGCAGTTGGCCCGTGAAGCAGCTAAACTTTCTAATTTGTTCCTCTCTTTCTCTTCTGGGCAGTAAGGAAGCATTTTCTCACCAAAACTCCTTTCTGCATTGTTGAAAGACTAGAATGCTTTGTCTAACTGTCCTGTACAGACGCGTTCCCCTGCAAATGCACCAGACAGATGACTTGTTTCTCAAAGAGTTAGCATAATCCCATCCAGCATCTGAAGGATTTATATATACTTTACCTGTTTCTGAAAATGCCACTTATTGTGTCTTCTCCTTCCTCTTACTGCTTCTCTTCCACAAATCTATCAAAGTTGGTTGAGAAACTACACAATAGACTATTTTCACTTAGGGACAGTTTGATTATAGATAGCTTGTTTGTGCCTTTGATTCCTGGTTGCAAGTTTGATTTACTTCTCCTACCACGATCTTTTCAGTGTTTTGATGCCGTCAAGGAGAGTCGGTATTTCCAGAAACTTGAGACTTGCTTTTGTTAGAGTACCTTTTCTTGAGAGAACACCTTGCATCTTTCCCAGGTTCTCAGAAGTGGATGGCAGTCATTAAGCAAAGAACTGGATATCCTTGGTTAGTAATGAAGGAGGATTTGGACGTCCTTTGGAGTGTTGCGCTACTTCTGCAGTTACGTATCAGCCTGAAGGCTTTTCTGGAGACTTAAGTTATGAAAGAGAATAGGAACAAAAGCCCCACACATCAAAAATCTGCATGAAGAGCAATGAGACCACCTAGGCCCACCTCACTTTGTAGACTCTTAACCAAAGGGAGTTCTGAGCTGCTGCTTACAACTCTGAGCTTGAGAAAGAGGTTGGAGGCTTTTCCTCTAAGCACATTCACAATTGTGGAGAGGAAGTTTGTAGTGAACCAGGTTATGTTGGATACACCTAGGATGTGATCGGGAAGGGTCAGCAAGGATTTACGAAGGGCAAATTGGGCTCAACCAACCTGTTAGCTTTCTGCAAAAAGGTGACCCCACTTGAGCAGGAGTGTTGGACTAGAGGAACTTGAGAGATTCCCTTCCATATTCAGTGATGCCATGATTCTTTGAAAATTTCTCCTCTTGAAAAAACAGAACTTTTGTTTCACCATTGACAAATCTCTTTGTTATTATTTTTGTTTTTAGAGCATCATGAGATTCCCAGTATGGGGAGATTTTATCTTTTACTTGGTAGGTTGTAACACTTACGTATGATGTGGAAGTTAAACCGTTCCCATTCAATGCTTAGCAGAAAGACTGGTGGTATTCCAGTGCTGTTCAGGGTGTTCCCCCAGAATTTTTATTCTTTTTCCATGGAATTTGTGGACAGAAAAGTAGAGGCAAGTCTTCAGTAGCTTTCTCTGCTGCTAGAGAAAAATTAAGATATTCTTTCCTCTTGCCGCTGATCTGGTAATAGTGGTGTCTGGGATACACTGTTTGTGTTCCAAATCTCTTTGATTTTACAAAGAGAAGAGATCAGTTTTAAGGGAACCACTTCCCTTTATGAATCACAGGATTCCATTCATTTTTCACTTGGCTGGTTTTGCTTTCACATGCAATCGTAGATATGGTAAGTGATGTATAAACAAAACTATGGTGAAGTTACCACTTAAAAAAAAAAACACAAGTCAGATGTTAGGTTTTTAGATGACTGTTTTCTCTGTGTTTAAATATCTAATACAGTGCTGTGTTGATGAGGTTTTAGGCGTTTTCTCTTTTTGTTGTTGAGTACCATTCTCCATCAATCATCTTCATCCATATTCTATTTCATGTTCAATTTGTAAAGAAGACGTTCTGGGGAGTGTAGTCCATAAACACTTTGGGATTTAGAGGCTGGGCCATTTTTTAAAAAAAAAAAAAAGGGCAGAGGCGGGAAGAAAAATCCTGGCTTGAGAAAAACCTTTCAGTTCAAGATTTGCCAGAAGTTGCCCAGGAATACTTTTTGTAGAGCAAGTAGTTTCCACCAGGTATTGAACAAGCTACTCTCCTCTCAAAAGAAAATAAACGAAAGAGCAACAAAACCCCCCAAAACCCAGAGCTGCAACCTCTGGGGAGAAGACGACTGCCAGAAAGTCATGAAGCTCTTCTAGGATGTCTTGAAAAGGCAGTGTGATACAATGGCTCTTTGTGCAGTGAGTTTGAGGGAGGTGGGTTTGGAGACCACTTTCTTCCAAGTGGACATAGTTCAAGGTGTGACACATTTTCAGAATCGAAATTGTGTGACAGAACAAATAGCTGCGACAGAAAACTATTTTATTTAAATAAAGGAAGTGCTACAGGAAATAATAAAACCCAGCTTGAATTAGTCATGCCTTTGGTAGAACTGTGGCACAGCTTCTGAATGCCGAACCTTTCATGCTTTCCCTTGCTGGATAAGGAAGTTTATGGTGATGCTGTAATGTTAAGCAAAATATTGGTAGTCATTTAAAATACCTAGTAAGTGAGAACAGCCCTCCGTTGGCTGCAGAGCAGCCAACATTCAGACCTCTACTTTATGTTGAGAATTGTTAATTTAAAAGAGTTCTCATTGTGTAGTTGTAATTCAAGGTTTCCTCATAATGGAAAAATATTTTATGGTGGATGAAAATAAATAAGGAACTGATGGAATTAGGATTTGACAGCCTGGTTTCCTATGAATAAATGAGACTAGCGATCAGATGATTCTTTTTTTATTAGTCCATCCATCTTCCTCTTCTCTTCCACCACTAGTTTTGTCTAAATGATCGGCTGTGTTTTAGCTCTCTGCTAAAAGAATAAAGTTGCAAATACTAGTTGCCCAGAAGTTTTATGAAAATAAGCAGATGGAAGAGAAAACAAGTGTAGATTAGGACGAGGCAGTTGATAACCCTGTTTCTGGGTCCTGCTTGGCAGCAGCCAGCTGGGCAGCCTGCACGTGCCCCACTCTGGACCAGGCTCAGCCGATGCTGTCGCTTGGCCTGTGGGGATATCGGGGGGTTGTGAGGCAGGAGCAGCTGGGGTTACGTTGCTGAAGAAATGGAAGAGCAAGGGATGAAGGGTCCCAGGCATGAATCTGTAGGAAGCCACGGCTTGTTGGCTTTCTTTTTCACTGCTTGACTTTGTTTTCAAATCCAGAGGAAGGAGGAAGGCAGTCCCAGCTTTCTGTCGCTAGCTAGCTGTACTGTGCAGCAAGTGGTGTGTGTTTCTAATGGTAATGAACTGTAAGAGGGAATTTAATGTAAAATGTACATGTGTTAGAGATGTGGAAGAAGAAAAGATGTGCCTCTGGTGAGAGAGCAAGTTGTGTAAAGGAAGAGAATAGCTTGAGGCATTTTCAAATGGCCGTTTGGACTTTTGGAGTGTTAATATAACCAGTGCAGTCGGTAGCACGTGGCTAACCTTAATTGGTGAAAAGGCCAAACAAATGCACTCCTGATAGGAATTAATGCTTTTAAGTGGTTTATAATAAAAACTATTTTGAGATGGATACTGTTTGTAACTTTTTCTGTCTAGAAGGTGGTAATTGGTATAGTGGAAATCTCAAGTCATGTTACTTTTTTTGTGGAAGCTTTTAGGTAATGGTGACTTTCACTTAAGGAGCAATGCTTAAGTGAAGTGTCCCTTTAAATGCTATTTTGCTTAACTGTAAAGGTTAATCTTCATGTTTTGTCTAAAAGATGTTAAATGTGGCAACCTTGGTTCCTTTTCCGGAGTAACTTCTACTTCAAATTACTTCTGTTTCATTAAAGCCAATTATTTAAAATCCTACCCCTGTAACTGAAATAGATGGGGCTCCAGAATTGCTCCAGGGTTGCAGCCTTGGGGAAGAGGCTTCAGTCTTTGCTCATTTTAACCATGCCTGTAGTGTTTGTCAGCAGTGTTGTTTGCTCCCTTGTAATTGAATTGCTCTGCCAGTATCGAATGAAATGGCGCCAACAGAAATGAACAGTTTAACAAGGTAACCGTGTATACATGATAATTTCTGTTGTAATATTTGATGTTTGTGACACTTGAACATTTTGGAGGGAGAAAACAAATGATAGTTTGAAGGTTGTGCTGGAAGTTGAGATTCTAGAGTTAT